CTCTCTCTCTCTCCTCTCCCACAAAACGGCCTCACTTGAACTCTACGATAGAGCAGGGCAAGGCGATGCGATGGTAGCCGACATGAGTGCATCGCCTTACACTCGGTCGAGCGCACTCGCGCCGTCGCCCACGGCGGCGTACTTCCCCAGCTCGTCGCGGCGCAGCAGCGTCTACACCTCGAACGCCGCGGCGGAAGACGACGAGGCGCTGGACGAGATTCGGCGGTATGAGTCCTTCTCCACCGTCGACTGGGTCGTCGACAGCACGCGCGAACGCAACCGCATCGCACGCGAACGCAATGCCGCCTCGGCACACTTTTCTAACGCACACCTCGCCAACGGCTCACGGGCCGATGCTGCCTGGGGCCATGTGGGATTTGGACGAGCCGGGATTCCACCGAGATGGTGGTCTAGGGGACCTTGGGGACGGAGGGCTTGGCTCGTGTGGGGGATCGTCAAGAGTGCGCTCGCCGCCTTCACCGATAGCGGCGTGATCGTGCTCGTCGGCATCCTCATCGGCCTCAATATGGGCGTCATCAGCTTGGCCACCGAGTGGGCTTCGGATCTCAAGCAGGGCTACTGCAGCTCCGGGTGGTGGCTCAATCAGAAGTTCTGCTGCTGGGAGATGATGGATCCCGCAGGGCCGGGTGGAGCACCGCTCCCGGCCGCAGCCAAAGCACTCGCCACCGCAACTGTCACTGTCACGGCACCCGCAGCTTCGTCGGATCCTACGGGCTCCACGACGCTGCTCTCCACGGCTACGCCGGCAGCAGCACGTGCAACAGCCAGGGCTATCGCCCACGAAGCCTACAACCTCACACTAGGCGCCGTGCGCGATCACGAGCTGTGGTCGCGAGCCGCGCAGGACATCTTTCACGACGGCCTCGGTGCAGGACTGGGCCTAATGGCGCGCGCGGAAGGTGCGCCATCTCCGGGCGCCGGCGACTTGAGCGAGACGTGCACCGACTGGGTGCCGTGGTCGCGCTGGGCGTTTCCCGCATGGATCGTGTACATGCTCTTTGCGAGCCTGCTGTCGTTCGTCTGCGCGCACCTCGTCAAGTCGTTCGCCCCCTACGCAGCCGGCAGCGGCATCTCGGAGATCAAGTGCATCCTGGCTGGATTTGTCATCAACGGCTACCTGGGCTTCTGGACGCTGGCGATCAAGAGTCTTACGTTGCCGCTGGCGATTGCGTCCGGGCTGAGCGTGGGCAAGGAAGGCCCGGCGGTGCACGTGGCGTGCTGCATCGGCAACGTGGTCGCGAGCTTCTTCCGCTCGTTCAACCGGAGCCAGGCCAAGATGCGCGAGCTGCTCACCGCGGCATCGGCGGCGGGAGTGGCAGTGGCATTCGGCTCGCCGATTGGCGGCGTGCTCTTCTCGCTCGAAGAGATGGCGTACAACTTCCCGGCGTCGACCATGTGGCGCTCGTTCCTGTGCGCGTTGGCGGCGACGGTGACGCTGTCGTTCATGAACCCCTTCCGTACGGGCAAGCTCGTGCTCTTCCAGGTTTCGTACGACCGCGACTGGCACTACTTTGAGATCATCTTCTACATGATCATCGGCGTCTTTGGCGGGCTGTATGGCGCGTTTGTCATCAAGTACAATCTGCAGGTGCAGTCGTTTCGACGCAACTACCTTGCCAAGCACGGCGTGAGCGAGGTGGTGGTGCTGGCGGTGCTCACGGCCTTCATTGGGTACGCCAATAAGTTCCTGCGCATCGATATGACCGAGTCGCTCGAGATCCTCTTCCGCGAGTGCGAGGGCGGCGGCGACTACGATAACCTTTGCCAGAGCTGGGCACAATGGCGTATGGTCAACTCGCTGCTGCTCGCCACGGTGCTGCGTACGGCGCTCGTCATCATCTCGTACGGATGCAAGGTGCCCGCGGGTATCTTTGTGCCCTCCATGGCCATCGGTGCCACGTTTGGCCGCATGGTGGGGATCTTGGTCAAGGCGCTCTACAATGCTTTCCCTCATTGGTCGCTCTTTTCGGCGTGCCAGCCCGATGTGCCGTGCATCACTCCGGGTACCTACGCATTCTTGGGTGCCGCAGCCGCACTCGCGGGCGTCACGCGCATCACCGTCGCCGTGGTGGTCATCATGTTCGAGCTCACCGGCGCGCTCACCTACATCCTGCCCACCATGATCGTCGTGGGCATCACCAAGGGTGTCGCCGATTGGTTTTCGCGCGGCGGTATTGCCGAGCAGATGATCAAGTTCTCCGGCTACCCTTTCCTGGACAAGGACGACCACAGCTTTGGCGTGCCCGTTGCCGACGTGATGCGCGCGGATCCGCAAGTGCTGTACGCTGCGGGCATGCGGCTCGGTGAACTGGAAACTAAGCTCGCCGACGCCACCTACAAGGGCCTGCCGCTTGTTCAGAGCAGGGAGGATGCAACGCTGCTCGGATATGCGGGCAAGACGGAGCTGCGCTATGCGGTGGGCAAGGCGAGGCGCGCACGAACACTCAATGCCGACACCACGTGTCTGTTCAGTGTGGGTCCGAACCGCGCACACGGCAGTCGGCGCGGGACGCAGCAACAGGACCTGCTCAATGTAGCCTCGCTGCCCACGACGGCTGCGGCGGACCAGGCGTTGCGCGAAGACATGCTGAGCCGGTTCAGCGGTGCCGCCGCAGCAGGTGGGGCTCTGGGACTCGGCGGCAGTGGGGCCACCGCGGCACGCGCGTCGCAACGGCAGCACGAATCCGAGTCTCTCATCGGCCAGCTCGACGGTGCGCACGATGATGACGACGACGCGCCTCGAGCCCGGTCGAACTACCCCAGCGCAGGCGCGGATAGTGATGGCGACGAGATGGACGAGGATGCCGAGCTGGGTGAGGCGGGCGGTGGAGTGGATGGCGAGGGCGATTCGGACGTGCTCGAGTTGGCGGGGTGGATTGATCCGACGCCGCTGATCGTGCAGCCGGACATGGCGCTCGAGACGGTGATGGATATGTTCAAGAATCTGGGGCCGCGCGTGATCCTGGTGGTCGAGTACGGCAAGCTCTCGGGGCTGGTTACGGTCAAAGACGTGCTGAAGCGCATCGCGCAGCAGGAAAAGGCCGAAGCAGCCGCACGCTCGGCATCGCTTCCAAGCACGTCTGCTGGTGCACACGAGGGAATTGGGGGCGGCGAACTCGAGGTGCTGCTCAAAGAGGCCTATGACTGGGCCCAGCAGCAGTGGGCATCGATTGCGCCGCACTTTGATCGTCTGGGTGCCAGGATGGGCGTATCGACAAGGACTGCGTCGCGCGCCAGTGCCTATTCGCATCTCGGCTCACACGCGGGCAGGTACGATTCGACGCCCGAGCCCGAGTCGGAATCGGTGCCACTGCACAGCTCGCAGGGTGGTCAACGGCACAAGCCGCAAGAAGACCAGCATTCGTTTGTGCTCGGTGAGGCCGACGAGTAGACACACGCGCGTGGCGGAATAGGACAGTGCAATTGCAGCGTGACGAGAGACCGATGATGTTCGCGCGGGAGTTGCGCGCTGGCTGCGGCTAAGCCGGCCATCGGCTGTGTTTGAAGTGGATCAGCGCAGCTTCTTGTCCTCAAAGAATCCCTGTACAGCATGATTGAGAGGAGCTCAGTATGGCGTTGTTGGAGCTGAGTCTTGGCAGAGGGAGAGAAACTTACACGAAGATGACGGAGTTGCCAGACACACGCGCCCAGCAGCGTGATGAGTTGAAGGGAGCTCCACCACATTGCCCTGGAGTTGGTCACTTCGGACAGGTCCCTAAACTGGGCCTCGCGTTCTCTTTGGTACTGCTGTTCCTTCCTAATGTCCCTGAGGAGGGCGTTGAGGTCTCTGACTCTCTGCGCGAGATCGGTCACATGCGCCTTATCCTTGTGCGAGTTGTCGGGTTTTGCGTCGCCGATGACGATATCGAGGTGCATGCGCACCTGCACTGCGGGTCTTCCGTCGAACTTGGCGAGCATGCAGATGCGGTGGTCGCCCGCCTCGTGCGAGGTAAAGGCGAACTTGCCCTCGGGTGGACCGCGCGACGAGGTGACGACATGATCGTCTCGCACTTCGCGGACGGAGATGTGGATACCCATGTCGTCCTTGACGACAAAGCGCTGCAAAGTGGTGTCCCACTCTTCGGTCATGTAGTGGCCCACCACCACCGTGTCATTGGGCAGCTCTTCCAGGAAACACTTGGGCGTGTCGGGCTCGAGGTAGAAGTATAGCGCAGCCGTCGAGCGTACTGCGAGCAGGAGCGTGCAGAGCAGCACGAGCACATTCGTTCGCCCCAGCATCGTGTCTTGCTCCGTCCCTGTCGGTATCGAGCGAGCGGTGGGGTATACAATGCCCACAAGCTTGTGCGCTTCGGTCCGAGTGTTGTGTGCAGTGGCCGAGCGAGTGGTCGAAGGATGTGCAGCACTGCCGTGCGCCCGAAGTTGGAGTGTACGGCGTCGACGCTGTGGTGTGCCGGTGTAAAAAAGGTGGTGGGATGAGGATGGTGAATGGCGAGTTCGGCTTTCTTGGCACGGCCAGTGTGGGCGCGGCGACGTGGAGCCGACCTGTGCGTCGAAGGCGCCCGCACCACCAAAGCGTCGGAAGAAAGAGCCAGGCCAAAGGGTGCAGCTGAGACATTGCTGGCAGCGCTCGTCACGTGAAGTTCCTCGTTGTGCTATCGCTGTCGCGGCCTAACAAACAGCTGCTTTTTCATCCGTCGTCGCCACACTCTCTGTCGACGTCCCAGCCATGTCATCGGCTGTGAACTCGGGCGTGCTCTATGCTTGCTTCAGAGATGGCATCGGACTGGATCAAATTGCAGCATCGATACCGAATTCGAGGGCAACCCTGCGTGAGAATGTCCTTCTCCGTGCTTTTCTGCATCTGTTTCACTATAGAAAGCAAAAAAAGCCGTTCGAAAAAGGGCCCGAAAAAAGGCATCCATATGGATCGCCATCGGGAGATGTCGTTGACCGATACACGATCTCTGCAAGGTGCTAGAGCCTGCGTGCGGACGCATGGCCATCGTGACGTCATGGGTCAGCATCACACAACTGCGAGACAGCACTGCGCATCGGCGCCATCCGACCCGAGGCCACCCTGAAACGCCGCGATGCCCACTCTGAGCGACAATGACGAGCAGCTGCATTCGCAGCCGAACGCCGCCTGCGATGCTGGCTCGCTCACACGACTGGGCGATGCGGCGTCAACCGTCCGCACGGACGACCTCCTGATCGCGTGGACCGAGGCAAGACAACCTAGCTGCTAGGCGAGATTGGTCCGGCTTTGCCTTGCACATCGAGCCCGGGTCGTTGCGAGTGCCGACGAGCGCCGCCAGACTTGCCATTCTCGGAAGGTGCTGGTGACCGCCTAGCCGCAAAGCGTTGCTGCCAAGAATGGCTGGCCTCGGAGTGGCTGGATGGCGGCGTTGCTGCCAAGAAGTTTCGTACAGGGCCGCCCGACGCCATTCGAACTGGGCCCTATCGATCGGCCTAGCCCGAATTCCCCGTCAGCACGAAGGTACAAGTGCAGGTCTAACACGTAAAGGCTAAATTCGCTCGCTTCAGGCGGCTCGGACAAACCCACTACAACATGAATGCCACAACGAGGGCAACTGAAGACGCGGCAACCGGCCTCACAATCCGTCGTCTGGGATGGCCTACGATCAGTCGAAGCGGGATCAGATGCCGTACGGCTGCGTTTGAAAAAAAGCATCTGTTCGCCCCTTGCGTGCTAAACGAGACAGCATCTTTCTACGAGCACCTGTGGACTAGGGGCAACGGGAAAGGGGCCACGCCCTCTGGCCCCTGTATCTGGGCAAGCGGCGTGAGCGGAAGAGGAGTGTCCGAGCGCGCGTACCAAGTCACGCGGGCCGATAAGGTGGAATCCGAACTGGCGGGCCAGCAGGAACGATGCACGGAAGGCGGTCGACCGGCGGCAGCTGTCCCACACGTGGATCACACGTCGCCTGTGTGATGGACTACATCGCCTTTGGTGGAGTCAGGACGCTATGGAAGCAGCAAACAGTGAAGCGACCGCAGGAGCGAAAGGGGCGGCTGGATGCGGAGTCAAAAGTGTGCCGTCCATGGCCGGGCAAGCTCAACATTCCTTGCGCTGATCGAGTGTCTACCACGCTTCCCGCTTCAGGCAATGTCCCGACCGTCGGACAGGGCGTACTGCAGTGGCGATGTCGAGCCGAAAGCGCAAAGTGGTCGAGGAAGAGGGGCGAAAGCGTCGAGTCGCACTCCGACCCGGCATGCCGGCGGTATTGTTTTCAGTCCGCCGCATGAAGCGAAAAATAACCAGGCGAGGCGCGAGTGTACCAATGCCGCCGGTCCACTGCAGCATTTCATCCGTTCATCGTTTCGTCGTTCGAGGCAGGCATTCGTGACCGCATCGGCTGAAAAGCCATCGATAGCAGTAGCTGATAGTGCCGCCCCATGTGGGAAAGGGTCGGTTGACCGATGCGCGTGGGTTGGCCGTAGGAACCACGCGGTGGAGCTGTTGGAGCCGCGTGGTCGAGAGCGTGCAGGAGACGGGAAGCGGTATTGGTGCGCCGCGACCTTCTGCACCGCGCCGGCCGATACGAGCGGAGTCCCAGAGCGAAAGAGGCGCGCGATCCGAATGCACCACCTCACCACACAGTGTTGGTTGCGGCTGCGACGAGCAGGTTCAAAGTCCGACTGCACTTCACGCTGCAAACGGCCCGGCCCTTGGATCACGCTGCGTCACTTTCGATTTCGCATTGTCCCTTTCGCGCATTTTCTTTTTGGGGGGTTTTTTTTT